CACACACACACACACACACACACACCCCTCTCTCTCTCTATGTGTGTGTGTGTATCAGGGGTCGACTTGGGAGTAAGGCCACAGGGGGGACGATGAATGGCCCCTCCCAGAGGAAATAAAAGAGGAGCAAAAGGGGAGTGGAGTTTGCAGGAGACAATTAGTTCGCTTCATTGTTTCGTGACTCTCTGAGACTCCTGGCCAAGTTCTGCAGAGATCGGCCTGGCAGCTCTCCAAGCCAGATGAGGTCTGTGACTGTAAATCCTCCCTCAAAAGACTTTGCTGGAGGTGAATGAGCAGAATTCACAGTCAATTAATAAAAGGTTTTTTTTTGTCAGGACAAGGAGTTTGCTTCATGCTCTCGGGAAACCTTGGTCAGAACAGTATCTTCCCTTTTTCTTTTCTTTTCCCATTTATTGCTTAGATTTACTTCCCTTCTTTTCTTTGGAAACTCCTTGACAGTAGCAGGGGAGGCATAATAATAATGCATTAATGTTCCATCATTTCAGTGTCTCTCTTCCAGCGATTTGGCTCAAGCAGTCTTTCTTGATTCCAGGGTACAAGCCATGAATGTCGGGTTCCTTTCCTTGGTCTACCATCCCAGTCTGAGCAGGAAGCCATTCCTGATGGCTTCCAGGTAAAGTATATTGAACTAATAATTACTTACACTTAAGAACTTAATGGATACTAACACCGTAGTTTTGATTAAGGTGGATATGTGTAAAACCGGTACTGTATTTTTTGGAGTATAAGACGCACTTTTCCCCCCTAAAAGAGGGTGAAAATTTGGGTGCGTGTTATACACTGAATGCAGCCCCACTGGCTCCCACCCTTTGGCCTCTGCCTCCCAGCAATTTGCCTCTTTGCAGTAAACGTGGCTTGTGGAGGCTTTAATAAGCTATACCAATCCCTGCAGCCTGAAACAGCTATTAAACAACTATTATATAAACTGCAGATATTTTTCCCTTGCTTTCCTCTACAAAATCTAGGTGCCTCTTATACTTCAGAGCGTCTCATACTTTGAAAAATACAGCATTTGAGCTGATTGCAGCCTATTTTTAGACAGAGCTATTTTGGGAACTCTTTCATCCCCAAATAAAGAAGATGACATGATAGCAGTATTTGAGGAGCTGCCACAAAGAAGAGGGGGGGGGGGTATCAAATTATCTTCCAAAGCACCAGAGGTCAGGAGAAGAAACAATGGTTGGAAAGTGATGGAGGAGAGAAACAACTTGGAATTAAGAAGAAACTTCCTAACAGTAATGCTTGTGGGCGTCCTATCACTGGAAGTTTTTCGGAGACTGGACGGTCGCTTGTCTGATATCGTAGATATCAGTGATAGCGAACCTTATTGGCACCAAGTGTCAAAAAAAGAAACGTCCACATGTGCGCACATCAGGCCCGCAAGCCTGAAGAGGAGCTGCCCAGGACACATGCACACACCCGAAAATGCCCTTCCAGTTCGGATACTGGCGCACATGCTCAGGCGACAATCCATTGGCAAGCAAGTTCAGGGAGGAAAAGAGAAGACCAGCTCTACCAGTTTCTGGCACTGCCGCAGGCACGAAGGCCCGTTGGTTGTCGCATGCACATGCGTGCCAGAAACCCAGAAAAGAAACGGGTGCCAGGCAACATGGCTCCGCATGCCATTTCAGGCATGCGTGCCTTAGGTTCGCCATCACAGTTATAGGTTCTGCTTTGGCAGGGGTCTGGAGTAGAAGCTCTCCAAGGTCCCTTCCAGCTCTACTCTTAAGATTCTAAGAATATGCTCAAAGACATACCACTTCATCATTAGTGTGAGCTGTGAGACTTGACTAGCCAATAGCTGCACAACATTTGGGAATGCTCTCCAAGGTCCCTTCCAGCTCTACTCTGTTCTAAAATTGGCGAGGCACTCGTCTGAATGTTGTGTGAACCTTTAAAGCCTGTTCTTAGATACCCAAACTTTTTTCTCTCTCCACAATCTATGAATCCGTGACCAACGCTAGTCCTTGTAAACACTGATACACTCCTCGTGGCAGAGAAGCAAGAAAAAAACAAATCTTGCTTGCTAGATCAAAATGTGAGGCTCAAAGATTGCAAGAAGGCAATTGTGAACTGCAAGTTAAAGGTTCCCCTTGCACATATGAGCTAGTCGTTCCGGACTCTAGGGGGCGGTGCTCATCTCCGTTTCAAAGGCCAAGAGCCAGCGCTGTCTGAAGACGTCTCCATGGTCATGTGGCCAGTATGACTAAACACCGAAGGCGCACGGAACGTTGTTACCTTCCCACCAAAGATGGTCCCTATTTTTCTACTTGTATTTTTTTACATGCTTTCGAACTGCTAGGTTGGCAGAAGTTGGGACAGGGAACGGGAGCTCACTCCCTTATGTGGCACTAGGGATTCGAACCGCCAAACTGCCGACCTTTCTGATCAACAAGCTCAGCGTCTTAGCCACTGAGCCACCACGTTCCTTGTGAATTGCAAACGAAGTGGGGGGGAAATACCATCTTGTTGTGAACTTGCCGGCATCCTGTAGTCTAGGCTAAATTTTCGCAATGTTTGCAAGTTACTAGAATGTGGATCCGTTTCTAGAATTACCCATCCCATAGATTTAATTGCTGAGAATTCAGATCAATAAAATCCATAAATCTGAAAGGCACCCATGTTTTATCTTCTCTCGAAATGAATACTCCAGCATCTAATATGGATGCGTTTCATATATATGGGCTTTGTTGCCCTGAATGATCGGCAGCAGTTCTGCAGGAGGCTCTTGAAATAAATGTTTCCTTGGATAACCCCTATTAAACGAGATACTTGTATAAACCTAGCCGTGAGCTTGATCCTTGGGGGAAATCTGATTTTAACCTTGCTAGATACTGTTCTCCAGATCCCAACTTTGGGGACAGCTGTGAACTTGGTTATAGGTCACCTGTAAATGGAGAAATCATCCATTTCTCGGGGGCTGAAAGGAGCAACAGGGATGGGGGGACTGTAAGCAAAATTTTCAACCACTTCAGGGAGATGATACCAAACTAGAGATGGAATAGATCTGTGATGGTGGCACACAGAACCATATCTCTGGGCACGCAAGCTGTTGCCCGTTGCTCTTCCCGGTTACGGCGTGCCAGCCAGCTGGTTTTCAGGAGAGCAGCTGCCTGGTGCACATATGCATGCCGGGAAGATAATCTTCCGGTTTCCGGTGCATGCATGTGTGCTGGCTACCTGCTCTTCTGGCACATATCGGAAAGCGGAACTTCATCTTCCCAGCGTGCACAAGCGTACTGGGCGGCTGCTCTTCCAGTTTCCGATGCTCCCTCGCGCTCCCATTTTGGCCCTTGGTGCCGAAAAGATTTCCCAACACTGGAATAGACGGTTGCATCCAATGTAAGGTGGCTTTCTGTATTCAAGCATGGGTGTAGGGTTGCAACAACCTGACAAGGTTCTCGGTCTTCTGCGCGGCGTAAAAGCTTTAGAAAATGACATGTTGTTGCTGTTACTGTTGTTACTATTACCGTTTACTTGCTACCCCAGGGAACACCGGTCCTCTCTCTGCCAGAGCTGCCTAAAACGTCTCTCCAGAACGGTCTCTCCTCCTCTCCACTCCCCTCTTCCGAGGCATCCAGCACCCGCCTGTCTCCTCCCAATGTCTCCGCTCTCCTTGACATCTCTCTCCCTGGGCCCCCCGAGGATGTTCTGTCTCAGGGAGAACCAGCCACTCAAATCAGCGACTCCATCATTGAAATAGCCATTAGCTCTGGCCAATACGGTAAGGGAGAATGAATGAATGAATGAATGAATGGAAAAGAAAAGAAAAGAAAGAAAGAAAGAAAGAAAAGAAAGAAAGAAAGAAAAAGAAATAGTTAGCTCTGGCCAATATGGTAAGGGAGAAAGAGAGGAGGCATGGAAGGAAGGAAGGAAGGAAGGAAGGGAAGAAAGAAAGAGAAGAAAGAAAGAAATAGGTAGCTCTGGCCAATATGGTAAGGGAGAAAGAGAAGAGGCATAAAAGAAATAAAGAGAGAGAGAAAGAAAGAGAGAAAGAAAGAAAGAAAAATAAATTTTTAACTCTGCCCAATAATACGGTAAGGGAGAAAGAGAAGAGGCATAAAAAGAAAGAAGGAAGGAAAGAAAGAAAAGAAAGAAATGGCAGTTACCTCTGGCCAATACAATAAGGGAGAAAGAGAGGAGACATAAAAAGAAAGAAGGAAAAAGAAAGGAAGAGAAAGAAAGAAAGAAAGAAAGAAAGAAAGAAAGAAAGAAAGAAAGAAAGAAAGAAAGAAAGAAATGGCAATTACCTCTAGCCAATACAGTAAGGGAGAAAGAGAGGAGGGATAAAATGAATGAATGAAAGAAAGAAAGAAAGAAATAGCAATTAGCTCTGGCCAATATGGTAAGAGAGAAAGAGAAGAGGCATAAAATGAATGAATGAATGAATGAATGAAGAGATGTCAAAGATTAGCTGTTCAAAAGATTGCCGTAGGTGTGGTTCAGCAATGGTGGTTTTTTTTTTACCTTGATAATGCTCAAACCACGAGTGGTTTTTGAAAGCAACACACTTGTGACTTTCCAAAAAGGAGGGTTGCCTATTTTACACCCTTCAGTAAAAAGAAAAAAAATTCCATTTACAGGTGAGAATGTTTCCCTGTCCCCAGCCAAGCTGAACGGCAGCGATAATTCCAAAAGTCTTCCGTCTCCGTCCTGCAGCCCCCAGCAGAGCTGGATCGCTTCGCCCAGCCACGATCCACAGTGGTATCCCAACGACTCCACCGACTCTTCGCTCAGCAGCTTATTTTGTGAGTGCAGCCCAAAACGTCTCCCAGGGTGGTTGATAGGACCAAGCTCGTCCCTTTCTTTTGCCCCTTAGCCTGTCTGTTGCCAAAACCCAGCTGAGAGATGTCCGTTGAGCAAGTAGGAAACCAACCATACTATTTTTTTTTAACTGAGCGCAGCTACAACCCCTTTAATCAGCAACATTTATTCCACCATTATCCCTTCTCATTTGCTTTTTTTCTTTCCCTTTGTCCCACAAAAAAATTAAAATCATTGGGAAGATCTTTTTTTTTTTTTCTCACTATAAATAGTCCGAGAATTAACCAACCACAATTTGGGACCAGAAATTTCTGTTGCTAAGCAAGGTGGCTGTTAATGGGAATCCTGGCAAATTTTACAACTGTTTTTGCCCCAATTGCTAGGTGCATTGCTGCAGAGAATAAGAACAGAATAAAAATAATAATTAGAGTAGAGTAGAACAGTACAGAATTAAGGATAGGACAGGACAGAATATAGGATAGGATAGAATAGAATTTAGAATAGAATAGAATAGGGAATGGGAATTAGAACAGAATAGAATAGAAAGAGGAAGAGGAGAGAATTGAGAATAAAAATAGAATTAAGAGTACAATTAAGGGTAGAATAAAATAGAATTAAGAATAGAATAGAAAGTAGAATAGAATAAAATTAAAAATTAGAATAGAATAGGGAATGGGAATGAATAGAATTAAAATAGAATAGAAAGAGTAGAATAGAATTAAGAATAGAATAGAAAGAATAGAATTAAGAATAAGAATAGCATAGGGGATGGGAATGAATAGAATAGAATAAAGAATAGAATAAAGAATAAGAATAGAATAGGGAATGGGAATGAATAGAATAGAATTAAGAATAGAATAGAAAGAGTAGAATAGAATTAAGAATAATAGAATAGGGAATGGGAATGAATAGAATAGAATTAAGAATAATAGAATAGGGAATGGGAATGAATAGAATTAAGAATAATAGAATAGGGAATGAATAGAATAGAATAGAATTAAGAATAAGAATAGAATATAGAATAGAATTAAGAATAGAACAGAACAGAATAGGTCCTTTTTCCCACCACCCCAAGTATCATTATAACTTTTGAACGGTTGCTAACTGAATGGTTGTAAATTGAGGACTACCTGTAGTGCTTTGATCCTAGTTGGGAAAACAAC